TAATAAAGGCTTTTAGCTAGCAATGAAGAAAAAAAGAAATAAAAAGAATTGTCTAGAGAGCTGTTCTTCACAAATGTTCTTTTTGTTTACACTTGTGTCTATTTTCAGTTTGAATGTAAATTGTTTAGACTCCTACTGGCTACTGAAACCCGTCTGGTTTTTGATCTGATCTGAAAAATTCTTTGTCACCAAAAAAAATGTCAGTACATATGGATCAGATATAAAATGCTCTGTAAGAGGCCAATATAAGCATTTCAGAATGAGCTCATCCATATTTCTGAGATAGAAAAACTGCTACTTTCCAGCGAGTTCTCCAAAGACTGATCGAACCCTTTCCATGTCTCTGCTTTTCTCTGCAGGTCTTGAATGAGTACGGCAGACTTTAAAGCACAGCTATGCAGACCATCAAGTGTGTTGTAGTCGGGGACGGTGCCGTGGGTAAAACCTGCCTGCTCATCTCTTACACTACAAACAAGTTCCCCTCTGAATATGTCCCCACGGTACGTATGTGACCTCGATCACTGCATCACTTTAAAATCTCTTGGTACCAAACTGGAATGTTGTTGAATCGGAGGGGAACATCGGAACCAACGTTCATAGTTTATCCAGATTTACTGAAAGTGAATTAAATGAAATAAACGCAACGTTGCAAAGTTTTCTCTCCTAGTTGATCAAATGTGTCTCAGTAGTTCTCAGTCATTGAATAGATGGAATCAAACTAGGACATCGTCTCTCCCGGTCATTAAAAAGCCATTAAATCAAAGTTTTTTTATTTAAGGCCTTGATTGGCATTAAGATAAATTAAATATGATTATGGGTAACATAAAAATTACCTTAATTTTTTCTTTTATAAAACCAATTTTGACAGATATTTAATATCTGATATATTTGGTCCTGCAGCACCGAAACACGCAGAACGTCTTCTGGTTGGTTTTAACACCAGAACTCCCAACGCCGTCATTTTGACCGTTCTGAGATTTTAAAGGGAAAGAATTTTAAATTAATCATATATTGATCATGTTAACTGACTTTTCCTGTTTCTATATTTTTTTTTTTTTCATTTTCGCGTTTTTGTAATAAAATAAAAACGTAAAAATTAAATATGCTTAATTTTACCTCGATCTCCCACAGCCGTCATTTTGACGGCTCTATTAGTTGCAGTGTAAATTATTCCCGCGGATGATTGACGTACTCTGCCGTTGCCTAGCGACCGACATTTTATTAGAACTCTTTGGCTAATTTGGAAAAATGGCTTTCAGTAGAAAACAGTGAAACAGGCTTTAGAAATGCTGTAAAATATTGATGATAGAGATTCGGGCGGAGAGGGAGAGACCGAGGAGGAGGACTGGGTAGGAAGCGGCTCAGACTCTGACAGCGAGTCCGAGGATGATCACCCACCCACGGGAAAATGTTCAAGGTTTGGATAGCTCTGCCCACACCTCAGCCGCGACACTCAGCCCAAAGCCAAACCAGAGCCCGGGGTCTCCTACAATCACTCACAGGTCGGCCTGGATGTGTGGGATCAGATGAGTAGAAAGTAAAAGCTGTAAAAGCTCCTGTGGCTGATATTTTATTATCTCCTGGGCATGGCAGATATAAACACTTTTTGAATGTCACCGTCTCACACTCAGAGATTTTATCCTTGAACTGGTAAAACACAGAGCCGGTGTCCAAGCCCAAAACGCTCAAGTTTGTCATAAATGTGGACAGGTGGTCTGGTGGAAATGTTCGGGGGGGGGGTCAATCAATTGTGGTAAATAAAATTATAATTTCAAACTTTGAACCTTATTTATTTAACTGATTTATTTTTAATATGAATTTAGAACACTAATAATGGCATAATACAGCCTTTTAAAATATATATTAGACCTGTTGTAAGGTCAATAGGTTTATATAACACACTAGAACCATATCAGTTGATGACATCATCACTACTCATGCGTTCCATTGGGAAAAATATCCCCGTTAAACTGATGGCCAGTGGGAGTTCTAGTAGGATCAGAGTTCTGGGAGTCCTGGTGTTAAAGCTGCTTTTTTTGCTTTGGTTTGAAAGTTTGTGTGCTGCTGAGCACAAGCTGGACGCTGTGTTTGGGTTCCTTGGTGAGGATTGGTGGAAAAACATGGACTGGAGTTAGTTTTTTTGGCTCAAGCTGCCTGGAATGGACTGATCAGTACCAAGATGTGGACTGGATTTATTTATTTGTTTTATTTTTAACTGAACTAAATGCAAAGTACATTAATTATTTAAGTTAAAGAATTGTGATTCTGACATTGTTTACTTGCTATTTCCTTCCTCGTATATTGAAGTCTTTTGAAAAAAAAACTTTTTATTTTTTTTTATGCATTGATGTTTAGGGTGATAAGTACTATTGTGTTTACATCCTTTGTGTGGTTTCTGTATTGTAAAAGTCAAACATTACAATGCGACCGGTCTGACACCCCAGTCTTTGACAATAGGAAACCGAACCAGTCTGTGGGAAAAATAAAACTCTCAAATAGATGCAAGCAGCTTAACGCTTCATGAGAATTTGTACTTGATGGCTACTATCATGCGAGTATGTTCAATATATCGCCCACCCCTACTTCCAACAACATTTGGATCCTATGCAGTACTGCAATGCGTGCGGGTTGCTGTGGTGTCTGAACACTGCCGTGCAGCACACCCTTCTAGTGACGGTGTATCCCAGTTGTTCCAGGCAATGTTTCCAGACACGCCGATTCTTTCCCCTGTGGAAAATAATTTGATCACACTTATGGCTCAGATGCTAACAGAATCTAACACTCTATGGAAGAGGTACAAGGACAAACATAGTGAGTTGAAAAAGTTGAACTCATGAACGTGCATTAATCCTGATTTCTAAAAGAAATTTTTTTTAGAAATTCTAGGAACCACTAGTAAACCTGCAGATTGTTCCTTATGTTAGGAACATAAGGAACAATCAGATCTCTGATATCAGATGGAGCTTGGCCATTTAAGGCTTTATATGTGAGAAGGAGGATTTTAAATTCTATTCTGGATTTAACAGGAAGCCAATGAAGAGAAGCCAGGATAGGAGAGATATGATCTCTCTTTTTCATTTTCATCAGAACTCTGGCTGCAGCATTTTAGTCAAACATTAATTTAAATAAAGTTGGAGCAAACTTGAGCAGAGCCAAATCCTCACTCCGGCCTTTGAATTGAAAACCGCTCTGCGCTCCACCATATTTCACCCGCTTGCTCCAGGCTCAGCTCACATGCTCTGGTAACATTCCACATTCAATGTCATTTTTGTAGCATGTGTTTTTGTATCCACTGTGTTCCAATATTTCTGTTTAAGTTTCATTTAATTTTCAGGGCTTTGTCTTAAAATCTTCTCAAGGCACTTTAGAAAACAAAGATTTTCTTTCTTTCTCTCGTCATGGTTACCAGTTGATGGCATTAAAATATTTCAAAGAGCTTGAAAAAGCATTAAAATAAATCCTGTAGAATATATGTTGATTTTCATTTTTGTGTTTCAATAAAAAAAAAAAAAAAAAACATTTGAAACTTTAAATTTCTCCTGGTTTTGTTTGTGTGTTCAGGTGTTCGACAACTATGCTGTAACTGTAATGATTGGAGGTGAACCCTACACCCTGGGTTTGTTTGACACCGCAGGTAGGACATACTAAATCATATTTCTGAGCTAAACCTGCACTGGAAGAAGGCGGACTGGTGCGTCCGCTTCGATCAGCTTTAGACATGAAATCTGGTTTTATTGGCTCCCGCAGGTCAGGAAGACTATGACAGACTACGTCCTTTGAGTTATCCCCAGACAGACGTCTTCCTCGTCTGTTTTTCAGTCGTCTCCCCATCCTCCTTCGAAAACGTTAAAGAAAAGGTAAATCGCTGCTTATTGTTGGATGTTATTTCATGAAAATCTGCTCTACAATGCTGTAAAATTAAAGAAAAAATTTAATGTTTTTTTTTAATTATTTGGTTTTTACTCAGGAGGTGCTTTCTGAATGCAAAGACTATAATGATGCCATTCCAGTTTTTAGTAACTTTGGGACGTTTCTTTAGTTCACGAATAACTTTTTAGTTTCTAGTTGTTAAATAACTTAAAGTCCACAGACTCAAATGTCCAGAGCTGTATATTGATTATTAGTGATGGTGAGAGAAGCTTCATTAAACCGTTTGGGTTAATTGCTTTAAACAATCCCCGCAGTTCATGAAGCTTCGTGTGAACATGTCGCCACCTACTGGTGGAGAGCAGAACTACAGTTAGTAATAGAATCTGGGATTTTTTTCAATTGTTTTTCTTGTTTTTTTTCCATTTAAGTTCCTTTGAAATTGTTAATGATTGGTATGTATAATGAGAAAAAATGATTTAAGGTTCACTGTTTTTCTGCCACTTTAGTGAAATAAGCTCAAGCAGACAGTAAAAGTGTTTGTGTAAATCGGGCAATGATGAGCAAAAGGAAAGGTTTTAGTTGTTTTATTCAAGAATTACAGTTTTTCCGCAGTTTTTGGTTTTAATCAGGTTGGAAATTATGTGTTCAGCCGATCTTTTAGTTAAACCAACCAATCTAATTTGGCAGATTTTTTACTCAATCTATATTTTCACTAGGGTAAAACAATACAAGTTATGGCCTGGTTCTCCTCCTCCTGCAGAGTGTCGCAGTGAGCGTTTCGCAGATATTTTTGATTTATGCCCAATATTGAAGCGTGGTCTGCGCTACGTTATTCCACGCCACAACGCCAGAGGGCCAATCAGGAACTAGCTGTGGGTCTAGATACGGCCGAGGCGGTGAGGAAGTGGGGGCAAGTTTGTCAAACAACGGAGGGACATGAGGGCCAAAAAGAGCGGGGATGCAGGTGGAAAAAGGGTCCCAGCGTTCTCACGCACCTCGCTCTGCTAGCTGCTCCATCTTCACCAGTTGTTTTCCAGAATGGCGGTCAGACAAACAAACCAAGCCGCTAAGGAACCAACCAGGAAATACGCATAGTGTAGAGCGGATGGAGATTCGACCAATCAGAGGCCTCCTGTCTGCGGTCACTGACAATTTGGGAGAGGTGCAGCAGAGGTTCTGCAAAAGGGGCGGGGCATAGCTGCGTTAACTGCGACACACACAGACAACCTGGTTTCTGAGTATAAATCAGCCTTTAGTCACGTTACCCTAAATATTTGTTTCATCGCACTAAAGTCTGAGGTGGGTTTCAAACCAACAACCTCAGGAGTGGAAGTCCATTTCATACAGCTGACGCCACTAACACTGATAACTGCTCATCAGACAGCAATACTGCTTAATACTAATGTTAAACCAGCAGCTGGCCTCAGATTTTCATCTTCTATAATCCAACCAAAATAGTTTTACTCAACTAGATTGGTTGTTTTTCCAACCAAGCGGGGTAGCGAGGCTTCAAACGTCATCAGTTTGATGATTCGCGCCTCGTGGAAACGCTCCCTCAGCCTCAGCTCGTCTCATAACATCCCTACTGATTATCCATTCTTCCAGTGCACAGTGTTTAAGTTTGTAAAAACAATTTACAGTATTTTATATATCAGGGTTTCCACAGGTCATTAAAAATCATTATAAGTCATTAAATTATTATTTAAATTAAGGCCTTAATTGGCATTAAAATGTATTAAAAGTTATTATAGTGGCATTTAAAATGCTTTGTTTAAAAAAAATGTTTATAAAACCAATTTTGTCAGATATTTCGGATATAACTGGTTCCGCATGTTTTGCGCAGAATTCCCTACAGTTGATCGTAAAGCCGTGCGTTCGGAAAACAAGCTCAATGCGGAGAACAGGCTGGAGTATGGCAGACAGTCCATGTCTTCCATATGAGAGTCCTGGGAACCTGTTTATGGCATCAAATCTATTTCTAGCTTGAACACATAAAACATGTAAATAAATAGCATGGAGGCAGTTAACATGCAATTTCTGAGAATTTGGATAAAAACGAAATCTGAGGAAATGTTTAAAGCTTTTAGAGTGATATAGGTGCGATGGTTCACCATGTATGAAAGCTGGAAGCGTATTATGAGATCTATGAGGGGGGGTGGTCACCAATACAATGTTCGCCTGCTGGTTTAAACAAAGCAAAAACATTTTATTGTTACGATAATAGATGCAGTAAATAAACCAACTGAAGAGCAACATGTCCCGCCTGCTTCAGATCTGAATTCTGGTTTCAGGTCATTTTAAGAGATTAAACGTGCTGCAATCGTCTCTCACATTTATTTACGGGGGGGGGGGGTTTATCTGCAAGAAGTTGCTCAGAATTCGTTTGGTTTCATGCTTGGTCATTATCCGTCATATTTCATCAGTCAACTGGCCTGAACTGGGATCAGAATCATGAGCAAATATGGAAGAAAAAACTAAATACAAAAACGGTTAGAAAAAAAAGAAACTTGAGTGAAATTCAGGCAGTTTAGATTTTATTTCCTGGAGGTGAAAAACAGATCAAACTGCTTCAAATTTAGTTATAGTTTCTGTTCAAGTTTCAGTCGATAAAGACGACTAAAAGTTTCAGATTATGACAAAAAGGCACTATAGTTCTTTGGAGTATTTTTTAAACGTCTTCAACATAAAATAAAATGAAAAAAACCAGTGACCTCATTTCTACTTTGTTTGCACTACAGAAAAGAGAAATAGATTTTAAATGCACTGGTATTTAAAAAAAACATCTAATAAGTTGTTTAATTTACAGATTGTCTTAAAAATGTTTTGTATATAAACAATTTTCCTCAAAATACACTGATGCAAGGTTTATTGATTTTTACGCCAACAAAATGTGGTGATTTTGCATTAAAAAGGTGTCGTTATGATGAACATGTGAAAGCTGAATTTTCTCTGTAAGACTTGTAATGACGTGTTGTGAATTGGCACTTTAGAAATAAACTGAAACATTTTCTTTGAAAAATAAGCTGATATCAGAATCCTGTTTGAAAAGGTGGGATAACAGAACAAAATGGCTACTAAACACGGTTCAGTGTCAGATTGGCTGCTCTCAAACATTCTGGAACGACAGCGAGTCGTCCCAGAATGTCAGCCCTTTGTTCCAGCTTCATGCTAACACTGAGTCTGTCCACACAGTGGGTTCCTGAGATCACCCACCACTGTCCGAAGACGCCCTTCCTGCTCGTCGGGACTCAGATCGACTTGCGGGACGATCCGTCAACTATAGAGAAACTGGCCAAGAACAAGCAGAAGCCCATCACCCCAGAGACGGCAGAGAAGCTGGCGAGGGACCTGAAGGCGGTGAAATATGTGGAATGCTCCGCCCTCACGCAGGTAACCATTACAGAGAAACAGACCATCAGACACGCACGCCATCACTGAAAGCTCAAAGACAAGAAGTAAGAAAGTGGAGGAAGGAGGAACATGGCTGCTGCACGCTGTGGTGGATTGGTGTGAACTGCATGCCAGCTGGGTGCCTTCCGCTGTCAGGCGCATGGGGGCCGGTTAAGCTCTAATCTGTGGTTTGGTAGTTTCACCCTCTGATCAATATGCTGCACATCTACAGGCTCCTCAGAGACATTTAGTCGTCTCCATAGCTACAAACGTGTCTGTCTTTCTGTTCGCTCGTCTTTGTCCAGTCGGGCTGAAGGTGAGCAGGAAGTGAACATGCATGGACAGAGAACAATAGTGTTGATGAAGCCAAGGCGTAGCCTCCACCTCTGCTCCTTCCTTCCTCCTCTACTTGGCATAATGCTCATAGCTGCTAATGTCACTTCCTGTTTCCTGTTGCTAATCCCAGCTGCACTCCTCTGTGTCATGTGCTTCTCCATCTTTGACCCCCCCCCTGCCATGTTCCTCTAGTCCTCCCCATTGATCCCGTGGCTCTGGTTGCTAACGGCTCTGCTCTCTGTCCTCTCCTGTCGTTGTAGCGAGGACTGAAGAATGTTTTTGATGAAGCTATCCTAGCTGCCCTAGAGCCGCCAGAGACCCAAAGAAAGAGGAAATGCTGTATATTCTAATCTGTCTTCCGCTGCTCTTTGTTTATCCTCTACATCCTTTATTCCTGACTGTTTGAATCTGATGGAGATTCTCTGAGGGGGGAGTTTACTAAGGTTTGCTTTGCTACTTCTAATAAATATCGGGGGGGGGGGTATTTACTCTGCGGTAAATGTTGAAATTTAGACTCTGAAACTCTATTTCCCGTATTTTTCTCTTGGTTCCAACGCTACTTTAGTCCTGGTTATGGGAGGGATGTGAGCTTTTTCTAAGTAATACATGAGGTCATTTTTAGGTTAAATAACATACTGCTTAGTTTAATTCTTACTATCAGAAAGTGTACCTTAATCCTACTGCTAAAGGTGAAACTTGTTTCATAGAAACCAGTTTGAACAATAATGAGAACCTGAAGCATCTTCAACACCATCAGCAAACCAACAGAGGAGAGCAGCAGCAGCAGCCAGGACTGCTGTGTTTTCTGTTATAATTAGATAAACCATAACGGCGCACATCCTCGCCGCGTTACGCCCAAATATCACCAATAGCACGAATCTGTGGCGAGAAGTGAAGAAATGCAAAATGAAACCAGGTGAAAATAAAAAGTTTCCTCTTGAGGAATTCTGGATTATAGATCAGATGGACAGAAGAAAAAGATTTTTATCATAAATGCAAAATGTTTATAGAGATTTGTTTTTACAATCTCGGTATAATTCCTTCCTCTGTCAGCTAGAGGCAGGTTTTACAGTCTCTATACTCCAACTAATGATTAATCAATTACTGAACTAGTTGCCCCCCGACCCTCAGTGAGGTCTAGAAGCACAAGATCTATTTCCAGCCATTAAGCAAAGATCCTGCTACATGGCTGTACATCTGATTTTGGAATTTGACTAATTAGATGAGTCCTTGAATATGAAATTAAGTTGAAAAAAGTTAACAAGTCAAAAAAAAAAGTTAAAAAGGTAATTGAAAAATTAAAAAGTTAATAAACCTAGTTATCAATCATATTTAGGTTTATAAACTATAAAATGTCAGTGCCAGTATCAGCATTAATGCCTCTAAGGTTGTGTTGGACCAAAATAAAATGTTTTTCATGAATTTCTTTTAGAAGCACTTTTGTTATTTTTCCTCGTATATTCAGGCAAGTTGGCGTTTCTTGTTACATTGCCATTAATTTTTGCCATCATAATATTTTTTAATGTTCCAAAGGTAATAAGGTCTGGTCCTGGATTCCAATAACACTGAGCGCCTATAAAGGGTTAACTTATACGCATTACGTTTACAAGAAGAATATTTGGAAAGCTGTTCTTTTTATTTTCATAGCTCTGAAGACAGAAATCCCTGTTTGCTGAAATCTGTTCCAACAGGTGACGACTTGAGACAAACCGTAGATCAGATTGTGATGGGCGGATCTAGGATTGTTGCTCTACTGTAATGTTTTAAAAGAAGTTTGCAAAAAGACAGTTTAACCAGATCAGGGACTTTGCACGTGGGAATAATTGTTTTGCTAAAGGTTGAACTATAATGAGCATTTTGATGCTGTTTGAAGATAATAAAGGACCAATGAACACGTTCTTCTCTGCTGCTTCTTTCTTTCTCTGTTTCTGCTGTTACAGGAAAGCCTCTTTTCTTTTTGGTTGAATATCTTTTCTGTTAATCAGTGAACCTAGAAGAAGCAGAAGCCTGAGCTGAAAGAAGCGTTTTACAGTTTCAGGGTTTTTCCTCCACTTGCTTGCTTCACTTGTCTTTGATTTCAGCAAACATTCACATTTTTAGTTTGAAGTTGTTTTTCCCTCCTTACAGCTTAGTGACACGTGTCTGTAAATCCTCTTGGTTTGTTTTATTTGTTTACAATGTTTTGCAATTATAATTTGATGTTTTTTGTCCCAAACTCCTCCCACTTCCCTCACTTATAGGATCTTCCAAAAGTTCTCACATCCTTTATAACCTTTTTTTTTCCATTTGATTACATTTTGATATGAGAACTTCAGTATATTTATGAAGATATTAAGATCATCAGAAACTAAAGCAGAAATATGAAGTGGAAGCTTTGCTGAGTCGACAATAATACACCCTTTGACCACATCTTTACTAACTTCATATATTCATCCAGGGCTGGGTGATAAATCCAATTAATTCAATTAAAAGTCTACAATTTGTCCAAATCTTGTTCTAGTAATTTTATGACTTAATTCTCGTAATTTCACGACTATTCTCATAACGAATTGATTCTCAGAAAAAAAAATAATAATCTCTAGCCTGGCCGTAAAACTCCGTCGAATGAAACAAAGGTTTAATACTGAAAATTATTTTTAAACTGGAAATAAAAGATTTAAATCAGAACAATTTAAAACTGGATGGTAAGAAAAATAGAAACTGAAGTGTTATTTTTTTTATTCCTAGAACCGATCACATGAACATGTAATCAAATAAGCTTCAAAGACATTTGTTTTTCCCAGGGTCCTTGAATGCAACATCTGAGAGTATTTTTGTCCAGGCACCTAAACTGCCACTCATCATTTTACATCCCATCTAAGCCCCGCCCCCCAGAGGGAACGGCCTTGAATCTGAGAAAAAGAAAGAAATCCAAAAATGAAAAGTAGTTTAAATTATTTCTCAGTTTCAAATCTTTTCAGTTTTTTCACATAACGAAGGATCGGCAGCAGAGACCGGCTGTCGGTTCGACTTAGAAATGAAGCCAATTTTCTCTTTGCCGTTTCTTATCATTTAGTTTGAGTTGAGCTGCAGGTTGCTTTGTGTTGCTCCCCGTTTCTGTTGCCTGATTCCGTTTGTCTGTCTGTTCACAGAAAGGACTAAAGAATGTGTTTGATGAGGCCATATTGGCTGCACTGGAGCCCCCAGAGCCTAAGAAGAAACGCAAATGTGTGCTGTTATGAGGGGTTCCTCACTTTTCACAGCGCACACACACATACACACACCTCTACAACATCCCATCTCCCCCCTCCCACACCCGTTGTCCTCGCTCTAATAAGGCAGCATTGTCCTCCGATGGGAAGAGCAGATTTCAGACGTGAGATGAAGCTGGAAGCCAGGAGGCCTCCTCATGCTGCTGCGGATGAGCACATCCATCGCCCCGCCACCTGGGTTTTCTCCTCACTACCAATAGATGTGTGGTGATGTTTTGTTTTGATTTGCCAACCCCCCCCCCCCTCCCGCCCCACAGACAATAACCAGACCATATTTAAGCAGCAGCAGCATTCCAAATGGACGCACTCCCAACCACTAACTGTCCGTCTGAGCTCCACAGGGCCGAGTGTCCGTCCATTTGGGATGTGGAGCTGAAGGCTCTGCAGGTCCACCACAGAAATTGGCCTTTAAGAAGCAGAGAACGTTTAAACAGTGTTAGCAGAACAAGTGGTGTGTTCTTCATGCGTTATCAGGGACCAAGGGATGCAGGATGCTGTAACGTTTGTCGTCACCACACACTTTGAAGCGATGCAGCAGAGACTTCCTGACCGTTGGGGTTTGTAGACGGCTGATGGTGAAACTAAAAGCTCCACCAGATTTCTATGGCGGCTTCCTGCGGTCTCCATCGGTCCGTCCTGAGGTGTGTGTTGTACCGTTCAGAGTGTGTGGTGCTGCGTAGCTGAGCCTTGGTCTCTGCTCCAAACCGTGGGATTAATGGAAGCTGGCTCCAGGTGTTTTTACCAAAATCTTTTCTTTGTTTGTTTTCTGTTTGTGATGTTTTTTTTTTTTATTATATATAAAAAATATATAAATATATAAAAAGGTTACTTTCACTCCTTTCACATTTAGGGGTTGGAGCTCATCTGAACTCTTTGCTGCCAGTTTCACAGAGAAAACTGATGATCGGCTTAGTTTGACCAGAAACAATTCATTTAAAAATCCTAAAAGACTGACTGGTTTCTGTTTTTTGTTTTCCCTTGTTTTTGTTTTTTTTTACTGGTGGATTAGAGTTGGGTTGATCTCCAGCCCAAGTCAATATGATTATTATAACCTGTTGTTGTTTTGGTGCAAAACCAAATGCTTTGTCTAAAGTCTGTTCTTTGTATATGCATTCTTTTCAGAATTATTAAACTTATACCTTAATTGCCTTTACCATGTCTGCCTTGTCATTATTCTGCATTTAAAATTTAATTATAGAAATAAATGTTTTCTGTTCATTTCCTAGCCTAACGGCCTGATGAGCCTGTAATGTTGCTGTTATCCAGAAGGTGGCGATGTCTACTTATTTTTTTTATTCCTTTTGGCTTCTGTGAGATGGTTCACTTTCATCTCACTTGAAGAACATATAAGGACAGGAATTAGTTATTGTAAACTTTGAATTAGGATTTTCTGGGATTTTCTTAACCGGCCACCAAGCTTGGAAAGGATTACAGATTATTCTGGACCAGGATCACATTAAGGAGAAGAAAAAAATTAACAGTGAATGATCCTGGTTAGAATGACAAGTGGTTTCAGTATATCGTAAATATAGACATAGAAATAACATTTTAAAAGGAAAAGTTCTGTCATATTCACAACTTTTGCGCAATTATACCTTTCCAGCATGATCTCAGGCTCTAAGGAAGCTTGGAGCAGAGCTGGATGGAGAAACTGGATATAGCAGGCATTGCTGTTCAGAGTATCAAGGATGGAGGATAACCAATGGGAAAGGGCTAAAGCTGCCTTACTTTGTGTCACATTTTGACATTTTTAATTGAAAGTGCTTCTAGGATGGAAAGTGAAACGTCTTCAGACTTGGAAATAAAGTCCAATGGATTTTGTTTTTATGGAAAAGTCGCTCATATTCAGAATCCAAACTTCTGAAAGTTCTTTAAATCTAAAATTATTCCATCCTGTTCAAATTTAAAGTGCTTAACATGAGAAAATAATGAAACAGACAATTAAATACAGTATGATAAATATAAAGTGATTGATTAAAAGATTAAAATAATGTAATGAAAGTTACACTTAAAACTTAACCCTTAAAGGAAAAGTCAAAATTCAAACTTCAGAAAGTCCTTTAAATCTGAAATTATTCCATCCTGTTCAATAAATGATCAGTGTTTTTAATTCAGAGTAATTTTCATGTGAATGTGCTTTACTGGAGGCATTAGTATATTTGGGCAAAAATGGCCGCTCCCAGACTGTGATCGCCATGAAACCCTAACCCTTTTTTTTTTTACTGATTAATGATAAATTAATTAAATCACCGCAAACGTATTAGCTTTAGGTATAA